ATTATAGCTTACTAGTGTTTAGTTTATTTTTATTAGGTCCTATATAATCTTAGTAGCTTATTCCTCCCCTCTTTTCTTAACGTCGTTTATAGAGGCGATTATTAGCCTTAATAACTTCCTTAATAAAGCTATTAAATAAAGCTAGTTAATCTAATTAGTAGATATTATCTTTTACTTCTTCTTTTAATCCTTAGTAGAAGATCTCTATTATAGCTTTATTACTCTAACTAAGCTTAACTATAATCCGTTTAAACTCTTATATATAGTATATAGTGGATCTAGTCTACTTAAGGTGGGTAAGCTATTAAGTAGCTTCTTTATATTCGTCTAGGTTACTAAATATATTTAAGAGTCTTTTTTTAAAGGTTTTATAGTCTAAGAAAATATAAACTATATTAGCTCTAGCTTTAATACTATACCTAAAGTATACCTATAGTGTGGGTTCCTACTATTCTATAGTTTTTCTAGTTAAGAGGTTATTAATATAGAGGATCTTATTCTTAGTAGTAGTAAGAGTGCCCTTATTAACTTAGAAGTAGGTATTAGCCTATATAAGAAAGTTCTTTATATTATCTTTATACTTATTATAGGTTTCTAGTTTTAGAAACTTAGGCTTCTTACTTCTTTCCTTCTTAAGTTATTCTATAAGTTAATCCTTTTCTTTATTTAACTTATTAATTTCTTCTTAGTACTTATTCTATTAGTACACTTCTAGAGTTCCTTATTATCTTTTTTAAGTTATTTAACTTAACTCTTACTAAGAGCTTCTAAAGGGTTTTAGAGGTATTATTAGTAGGTTCACTTATAGTTAATATCTTAGTTATCTACTTAAGGTTTCTTATAGTAACTTACTAAATAGGACTAATTAAAATATAATAGTGGCTTATTCCTAATCTATAGTAGGTCTATTTCTTAAGTAGAGAGTTAGATAAGTACACACTTAGTGTGTATATAAGTAGATATTATTATATAAGTCACGTTAGGAGATTACTCCTAATAGTAGAACTATTACTTAGATTAATTAGTAGAGATCTAGTCTAGCTATTTACTAGAATCCCCTTCCTTATATATTTATCCTATCCTCTACTGTGGTATTACTTAGATTACTTAGCTCACTCTATGATCCTAGTGATCCTAGATTAACGCTGGATCACTATGATCCCTAGTGATCCAGTCACGTGACTAGTTCCTTTGTTCCTACGCCCCTGTAAGCGCCCTATGGTCACTTCCTCGGGCCGCCCTGCCCCTCATCTGCAGCACCTCAGTGCATCTGTAACAGTCTTATAGTATTCGTAATATAGATCTCCTATCCTTTTAGTGGCTAGTGTGATAAGCCTTCGCCTGCCTCTCTTAGCCCCGCCTATACGTCTTATAGCATTCGTAACACCCAGCTAGACTAATAGCCTAGTGGCCTGAGGCACGGGGCCGATAGGGGGGGGGGGGGCTCCCCCTTATGTATAGTAGCCACTCCCGGCTCTTCCTCCGTAAGAGATTCAATTTAACCTCATATCGACGCCTACTCGTAGTAGCCGTAGGGCCAGTCCTTAACAGCTACTATATAGAAGGGGGAGTCCCCCCCCTATTAGGCCTATACCCTAGGCTAAAGGTTATAATAATGAATAATAAACAATAGTTATAATAGTGAAGGTACTCCGTACTTTAAGCTAGATGGGTTAGGTACCTAGAAGAGGCCAGCTAGGGTGGCCGTACATGGGCCGGCCAGCGCACGTGACGGGGCGGGAGGGCGAATCAGAAAACGGATGCGCGGACAGCGACACACAAAATACAAACCTATCTCCCATCATTTACTATGCCATGGAATACGCCATGGAATACAAAACCACCCGTGCCGCTCCAGGCCGAGCTGGCCAAGACGGCCAAGCTTTCAGCGATGGAAAGCGGGCTTCCTATACTGATTCGAGGGGCACCAGTCGCGGCAATGTTTGTTGGTGAACTATTAGCCAAGGCCACAGACGGACGGAACCGGGTGGAGGAAAGGCTGCTGGGCGACGACAATGTTGTGTTGCTGGGAGGATCACAAGCTCAAGGCAGGAACATGCAGGAGTCACAATCACGGACGTCGCATTACCACGCTGGTCTAGGGAGCCCTGGGGCGAAAGCACTCTGCATGCTGTGCAACGGCAGCCAGGTCATGCAACAGTCACGCGGCGTTGGTGATTTACAGGGTATTCTGCCAGTTTCTCGCAGCGCAGCGCAGATCAGGCATCCGCTGCGTGTTTACGACATGTTGAGCGGTGATGGCAGGGCAAGGGTTGGACCAGGAGGGGTCAGGTGGCGCAATCACCAGAGTGCCGACGCTTGAGCCTGACCGAGCCTGAGTCTGGGCGAGGGATGAACAGCGGGCGTGGATCCAAGAAGGCTAATCTGTACTGGACGAGGAAGCAAAAGTGCTGTCGACCGCGGGAGGGGGGAGGGAGTACAGGCGACCGCACAGCAGGCGAAATGGATGCGGCCCTCTTCGGATTAGTGATTGCGGTTGACCTCGCACCAATTGGCCGATTGTCCAACGTAGAGGGAAATACTGTGCCTAGGAAGTAAGGAAATAGAAAAAAGTTTGATGGGCAAAGGAACGAAGAAGAAGCTAACTACTGGATGCACTGGTGCTGAGTAGCGCAGGGCTTGTAGCCGTGGTTGGTGGCACAACGTGGGCTCGGAGTGTATTAGAGGGACAAAGGTAATAAGTAGGAGTTATGGGCTAGCAGAGAGTCAGAGAGCCAGAGATCACCCCTCTTTTTGATTATTAACGAGCGAGTTTAAAATGATGACTATTGAGAAAAAAAAAAAAAAAAAAAAAAAAAAAAAA